AATGAATCTGAATGGACATAAACGAAAGGTGCTGCTCAATCACTGATCTAAAATGAAATTGAATGCTCTGGTAGCGAAAATGAAACGCGTGTTCAGAGCGATTCTCAAGTTTCAGACGAAAATGAATGACCGATTTTCAGAAGTGAATGAACATTAACTCATGCATATCCACGCAATACAACACCACTGCCCTCTAACTCCGCCTTAATGCATAACGTCTATGTACGAACTCAATATGAATGACCGAAGCGCGAAAATGAATGATAATAAACGAATTTGCTTTTTCAATTCAACGGCAATCTCTACACTAGACGAATTTCCCGAAATTTCACTTGACAAAATAAGAAAAGTATTTGTGTAAATTCGAAATCGAAATTAACAATGGAGCCCAACGACGGCCAGGATTGAAATTAAAATATCTTTCCATGGAATTTGAATGATGCACGTGGTAGGCCTAAACTAACTGAGAAACACTTATGATATAGGTTTTCCCGGCCAATTTCGCAATAATAGCATTCAAATTCATCTTGATAGTTGCCGATTTGAAGCACATTAGCTCCCTGCTGTCATTCCCGTGGTTCGTATTAGTTTTTAGACGTTCAAATTCGCTGTCAGTCCTGACATTTTCATGTTTATAACACATCCTACAATCCTGGCCAAATCTCGCTGGGCCCCCAACCCCCTGGCCCTCGTCCAATGTTGTCTCTCATTGCGCGGTGTGTGCTCCATCAGCTGGAGAGAACAACATTGACCGGGGGAGTGTGGGAGTGGATGACCGTGGCAGGCTCAGGAAGTGTCCCAACCATTTTGGCCGGGATTGTCTGAATGTACAATATTATAGCCTTGATATTAGGATTTGGACATTGCGCGTATTACGCGCTCAAATAATAATACACACGCGCGCGCTGGTTTCATAATAGGCCTTTCTTTTGTTTGTAAACATTGGCGCCATTTTGTATGGGCTGCCGTAAAATTGAAGCCGTGGTTGGCAACATATTATTTTTAAAAAGTCCTCATAACGCCATCAACACATAGTAAAAAGGCATATGTAGGAATTATTTTGTAGCTTTGTTGAAAATGTTGTATTTTCAAGTATCAAATAATATTTTGGTGATCTGTAATAACTCTTCTTCATTTTTGCAGTGTTGGACCTTCCTTAGTTTTGCAGGCCGTGGTTGGCAAAATGCAGTTTGCCAACCAAGCGCAGAAAGGTCTATACAACATGGTCAATGCATATACACGATTCACCATGACGGTTCACCATTATGATGTCATTTTGGCCGATGATTTTTACAAAATCCAAATTGTGTTCAATGTGAAGCCGTATTAGGATGCGCAAACAACGTGTTTTCTCCGCCATTCCATTAGTTGGACGAAAAATCCATCCAAACCATAGTGTAACCACGGTTCACCGCTGTAAATTATATAAGAAGCAGAGTCACTCACTTCCTGTATATATTGGTTTGGATGGATCACCGATGGATTTTTGCGGCAGAATATCGGACTTAGTGAATACAAACCAATTAAAAAGGGATTGTATTTTGTTTGCGTATCCTATAGGAGCCTTTCAAGTTCAACACAAACTGTATTTTGTACAGTTATTGGCCAAAATGGCATGGTGAACCGTCATGGCGAACCGTTACGATGCACGCTACACTAAGTTCGGGTTTTAAAGGATTGTTAAATGGCCTCTTAATTATTGTCGCCGGTACTTTGGGTGGTCTATTGGTTAAGACATGTGCTCAATTCAACAAAGCAGGGATCGTGGTGGGTTCGAATCTCACCGGAGATAAATATGTAGATCATTTTCCTGCAGCACTCGGGAAGTAAAAAGTATACCCTGATTACCACCCATACGTGTTAGGGAAAACACGACAAAATATATATATGTATTTGTTATTTCGATTTTACTATCAATAATTATTATCTTGCCCAATTATGTGTTCCTTCATTCAACCTTCGGCCGCCATTTCACATTTTGGAAACAAAACTCAAGAAAACAGCCCCTCAAATGGCATATCATGCACATTTGGAACTATGAAGAAATTCAGACAATCCTGGCCAAATCTCGCTGGGCCCCCAACCCCCCGGCCCTCGTTCAATGTTGTCGCTCATTGCGCGGTGTGTGCTCCATCAGCTGGAGAGAACAACATTGGCCGGGGGAGCGGGTGACCGTGGCAGGCTCAGGAAGTGTCCCAACCATTTTGGCCGGGATTGCAATCCTGGCCAAATCTCGCTGGGCCCCCAACCCCCCGGCCCTCGTTCAATTTTGTCTCTCATTGCGCGGTATGTGCTCCATCAGCTGGAGAGAACAACATTAGCCGGGGGAGCGGGGGAGTGGGTGACCGTGGCAGGCTCAGGAAGTGTCCCAACCATTTTGGCCGGGATTGCAATCCTGGCCGAATCTCGCTGGGCCCCCAACCCCCCGGCCCTCGTTCAATTTTGTCTCTCATTGCGCGGTATGTGCTCCATCAGCTGGAGAGAACAACATTGACTGGGTGAGCGGGGGAGTGGATGACCGTGGCAGGCTCAGGAAGTGTCCCAACCATTTTGGCCGGGATTGTAGGCTGACGTTAAAGTCATTCGGTTTAGGCTGTTTGGTTTAGGGTTATTTGCACTAGAATGTTATTTTTGTTTTCATCTCAGCGCATTCTATTTAATGCTTTCTGCATTCAAAATAATGGGAAATGAAGGCAAGATGCGAGATATTTTTCTTTTCACTTTTCACACGTTCTTTTTTTTTTGTTGGTTTCATTCTAGTTTCATGTTCAAAGTTACTGTTATCTGTCTTTGATCTAAAGAGGTAAAAATATAAAACTGATGCGAGAAAATTAAAGATGATACACAAAAGTCGACATATAAACAATAAACTATAGGCAACATTAAACTCAAAAGATCCTTGCCCTCTTTTTATCGTGTTCATACATATTTTTGTTTTGTTATAATTGTGTTTGTAATTATAGGTTTTTTCATTCAAATTCACCAACTCTAACATTCAATTTCGTCCTCGAAAACTTTGAAGGAATTTGAAGGATCCGATATACTATTTTAATTGGAATGCATTCTTTTTGAAATTGAATCGTTGATAAGTGCAGTCGCATGCTTTTAGATTTCAATTGAAAGATCTATTTAGAGAACTGAATATTGATCTAAACGTGCGTCCAAATTCGTGCGAAAATGGGTGATTCGTCATCAATTTGGCTGCCAAATCTATCAAACTGAGTGGGAAAACCTATAAAATGATTCCGTTTTCTAGTTATGTGTATTTATCTCTGCACTCTTGGTGTAGCCCCAGCAGTAAAAGTCAAGTGGCTTGGTGTCAGGGAAGCAAAATGTTCCGTAAGACTAAATCTGATGACGTTGTGATTTCGTCATCATTTTGTTTTCATGTCTTCGGACAAGAGTTCGCGTCTATGCCAGGTTATTATATCTTTATCCCTTGCACATTTTGAAAGAAATCTGTTTTGTCTGAGTTATGGGCTTCCGTTTATATAGGTTTTCCCGCCATGGGCGTCACCAGGATTTTTTCTAGAGGGGGCAAAACAAATTTTTCCCAAAAAATTCTTGAATTTCTCAACAAATTCTCGATTTATCAGTTTTAGAGGGGGCAGGGACACTTTGCCCCCCCCCCCCAACTCATTAAATTTACAGCACTCTGACTTCGCGCCTCTTTTTCTTTTCTTTTTTTCTTTCTTTTTTCTTTGTTTTGTTTTTCCGGGGGGGGGGGGCAAGCGCCCCCCTTGCCCCCCTCGCGACGCCCATGTTTCCCGCACATTTTTGTTTTAGTTCAAATTCATAAACGGTTAACTTCCATTTCGTCTCGAAAATTCCTGACCTTGCATACCCCATGTTCAATTTTGTCTTTGGTCGCTCATTTTCGCACTTTGTTCAAACAATTTTATATGTTAGCCATACGTTTTGGTGAAAGACAATTAAATTTCGTCGTCTGCAATTGGCAGACGTACGATATATGAAGCAATTTTGTTGTTTTGCAAACAATGTTACATAAATTTCATTTAAATTCGTCACATGATTGTATGTTATCTTCGGTAATTACGTTTTCATCTATTCGTTTCTACTTCAAACATATTTAATTTATTTGTGTGTGTCTGTCCAGTATTTTCCTTGTTTAACTATAGTAAATAAGCATTTTTCATAATAATAATAATGAACATTTATAAGGCGCCGATATCCGCCAAGCAAGACGCTCATGGCGCACAATACATACAAAACAATTACAGTATAAATTAAGTTAAATTTGAATTACAGAAATTAGTGACAGAAGTAATAAGCATCAACTCATTAAACACAAAAACGTGAGGTAAACATATGAGTTTTCACAGAAGATTTAAATACAGACAATGATGATGACTGGCGAATTTCAAGTATGTATATTAATATGCAAAATTATATCTTTTTCAAAACTTATTTGTGTATCCATTTAGTTCTTCGACAATTTTTTGAGTCAACAACTGGAAGAAATAAGATCTATACACAGGCAAGTGAAAATGTTTTCTTTCCATTTCATGCAAGAAGTATACTTATGAAAGGCAATATGTATTCATATTTTCACATCTTTCAGAATACTCAGAGCAGGCCGACAGAAGCTTGTTCAAAAAGCTCTTCACGGCCAGACAAACTGATGACTTTTATCGAAACATTCTAGAAATCGATTGAAAAAAGACGAATTCAATCATTACATTATGTAGAGGATCATCAGGTGAGACGAATTCCATTGAAATCTGACGACATCGAATGGACAAATATTGAAATTAACTGACCATTGATCATTATTGACTAAACTAATTGTAGCATTTGCGCGTTCCAGTCTTCTCGAGGCGAAATTGAAGCTAACCGTTTATTAATTTGAATGAAAAAGTTTGAAAATGCGCGGGAAAACCTATATTTTGAAGGACACGACCTAATAAAATGATCACGGTTATTCAATGGCATTCATCATGTAAGTATTTCTCGGTGCTTACTTTGAACCATTGACTTACCTGTACCAGCTGGGGTGGGTGTCTCCGTAGCAGCCGGGGTGGGTTTCTCCGTAGCAACCGGGGTAGGTTGCCTCCTTCCCGGACATCGCTTCCGTATCTCTTGCATGACTTGCTTCATCCAGTCATCCGGGTTATCAGGATCAGGTTCCGGTGGGGGACCGGAGTAACACACCCTCTGCTGGCTCTCCACGCCAAACAGGAGCACTTTGGAATAAAAACAAACAGCAAAGTGAATGTGGATAAACTATAGCATTTTTTTTGTAATTGACGAAGAATCAATGTGAAATCTGTTGGAAATAAAGCGGCATTTTCATAAAAAGCGAATTTAAAGTTTGAGGTCTTTTAGTCCCACAGCTAAATGAAGAGATTTTTCTGTCCATGATGTTGTAAACTAATGTAGGTTTTCCGGGCCAATTTCGCAAAAATGGCATTCAAATTTATCTTGATAGTTGCTGATCAAAGTGCTATTTCCATGATTTTTTTTTAGTATTTGAAAGAAAAAGCTCTCAGCGTTATCTGATATCCAAATCATCAAAATTCACCAATCCCTTTTTGTTTTAAAGGCAAATGTTTTAGGTTGCATTTTTTGGGAGGGGGGTGTCACCCTGTATATAGCCCATATACGGGCTTTGAAAACTAGTTTCTATGATGCTCTATAGCGGCTTTCCTCAGACTTGTACAATGGTCTTTAATCCTCCATACGATATCACGTGTGGGTACTAGAGTGGGTACTAGGATTCAGAGTATAAGAATATGAAACTCAGCTTACCTGCCATTGCTGATAGCATCAGAACCACAGCTACGGCTCCGTCCATCCTCCCGCCAGATGCAGTGAATTCTGTGCAATGTCAGTTTGGTTGGTGGTACTTATATCAGCGACTTCCTCATCACGCCAACCCGCATCAGTTACCACACACGTAAACCACTAAACAGCATGACGTCATCAATAGCCAATCAGGAAAATGACTGGACTCAGCAATGGCTGAGAATCCTCGAGAGTGATTCCCGTTATTCTCCCAAAAGGGTTTTTCGCGGAGTTTTCGCCCCTCCCATAATCAGCGAATGTATATAGTCCTATAGCAATATATTTGCCCGATGTCACATAAAATGTCCAAATTTGTAGTCACTTATTTCACCTTAGGCCTTTAGTAAAGTCTGTTACCGATGTCGTTTCAAACTGTACATGTTTCTTTATAATAGTTGTACAATATTTATAGTTGTTTTACAATCATGCAGTAATCCCATATGCTTTTATTTTATTTCATTGTGCTTTATTGTATTTGTAATGTATTGTATTTGCACATAATAATGTAGTCACTTGAAGTGCATGCAGGGCCCCAATGGAAACCAGATTAATTACTGTTTGGGCATACCCTGAGCAAAGAAATGTAATAAATAAATATAAACGTTGTCATATACGTTGTGTGCAAACAATACCAGCGCTTCAGACGCTACGCAGCCGCAAACCATTGAACGAACTGACGTCATTTTGCAAGCCAATCAGAAGTGAACCTGAACTTGAGGGATCGGAATATTTCTGATTGGTTAAATTCACAGCCTGGGCGGTACCTATGCTGGAAGCAGGTACAGTTATAGCCAATTAGAACTCTCTGGTCTGGGTTGAAATGTCAAATTTAATAGTCCATCGAAGTCGTAAACCGTCAGAAATCCATATGCAACGGCGAAGTACCGCGTGCGAACGAAAACTCCACAATCCGATTTAGAAAAAGCCTATTGACACCAGAATCAAAAGCTCTTTATATGCAAGAGGGCGCTCTTTTACCGTCTGTCCCGGTTTTCCTTGCACTTTCGGTACTTTTGTAACATGTCTTTTCTGTTGCCAATACTTGTCTGTTACCAACTTGTCTGTTATCTCTTCTGTTCCTGCCAAGGGCGGATCCAGAACACAATTTGGGAGGGGGGGAGGGCCCAAAAAAAATTTGGTCCCCCAAAAAAGTGGGTAAAAAATTGGTGAAATTGCTGCGCACTGTTCTGGTGTAAAAAATGTGGTGATTCTTTTTGGTGTTAAAATAACAGGGTATTGTCCAAATTAACACCGATTGCTGGTGTCACTACGTTTGGTGTTTAAATAAGTGACCGCCAACTCCTGACGTAAACGGGGTAATCCTATACGATATGTGTAATCCTATGCGATAGTACTGCCCGGTTCACCATGTCACCAACCAGCAATGGCGCGCGGTGCCAGACTTTAAAATGGGGGGGGGGGGGGGGGGAGGCAATGGTGGGCAAAGAAATATTTGGGGGGGGGGGGGCAGTCACTGGTCCGGAAATAAGCCACTAGAGCAAGTTGGAAGTGTAGTCGTTTTTATGAATGAGAAATGTATCAAACCGCAGAATGGTGTATAACAAATGTACAAAGACGTTGACTGGACACTATATACGGCTGTATAAATGCATGTGTGGCGTGTTTTGTCCAAAGTACCAATGTTTATAATGCTTTGATTGGCCCAAACTGTGTCCACAGAACCGATATATATATAAATTCACTCTCTATCTTCAACTTGTTATGAATCTTAACAGCGAAGAAAATAAACATAATTAATTTTTAGATAAGGTATGGGGGGAAATAAAAATATAGGTGTCATTAGTAAGCTCAAAGCCTTTTTCCCACAGGAAGTACTGTTTATGCTGTATAATACATTGATTTTGCCTTATTTGAACTATGGTATCCTAGCATGGGGGAATTCTGCAGCCAGTTATGTGAATAGAATTCTTAACCTACAAAAACGGGCATTGAGAGTTATTAATTCTGTTGACAGACTTGAGCATTCAAATCCTCTTTTCTGTAAACATAAAACACTCAAGGTCAATGACATTTATTCACTTCAGCTTGGAGCCTTTATGCATCGTTTAAACAATAATTCACTTCCAAATTCCATTGCACAAATTTTCTGCAGAAACGAAACTATACATCACCATTTTACCCGACAACGTAGAGAATTTCACTTTTCATTTGCAAGAACAACCGTTTACAAAAAGACAATTAGGCATGAGGGCCCGAATTTACTATCAAATTATAATAGCTCAGATTAATCTTCTTACTGGGTTACTACTCCGTATTTTTTTATTTTTGATCAGGAATATTATTGGTTTTAAATGGTTTTCCGTGTGTTATGTACAATTTACAATTTACATGTTCAATTGTTTTTCATTTGTTTTTCATTAAATGTTTGTATTAATCCATGTTAAAGGGGATCCCTACTCGACAAGCTCCGCTTTTTGGAGATTCCCTTCCATCATCTCTAATTTAAAAATAATGCGCCCAAAGTGTATAAATATATTTTGTGTAAAACCAGTTCAAATTTCTTAATATCTAAAACTACATGTATGTATTTATGCCTTGTCACTTAATGAAATGAGATGCGGTAAAAATAATAAAGAAGAAGAAGACGAAGAAGAAAACGGGGGGGAGCTGGAGGGGGGGGGGCAAGCTAGGGGGCGGGGGGGGGTAAGGAAACACTAATTGGGGGATATACCCCCCCCCCCCCCCCCCCCCCCGTGGTGCCGCCACTGCCAGCCTAAGTCACAAGTGTGAGTCAGTCGTCAGTCAGTCAGTCAGTCAGTCAGATAAGTGCAAACAGGACAAGTCCGGGACCAGTACAAAAAAACCTCATAAAATTGGAAGGAAAATACAAAGAGGGCGCTATTTAGCAGAACCGTAAAGTTTCGGGCCGTGGCATTTATTTTTGTTTTTGGTGTGTAACTTGGCTGGTGTCCTGCTCCGTGTGCGTAATGTACTGGGCAAAAATGTGAACCATGGAGCTGTCAATTGATGTGCGAATGTTCATGCAGTGAGTTGCAAGTGCTGTGAGCTTAGCCCGACTGCGTCTGGCCGTACAGTACTATCGCAAGCTCTGTAGTACGGCCAGACCGCCAATGCGCCCCTCAACCCTGAACTCTGATGTAGCGATTTGGCTACCGATTTTGATCGATTTTATCTTCTCATCCAGGAACAAAATTTCCAAAGTTGAGGTTCGTAGTCGTAGAGTAACTCATACCTTTTTGTAAGAACGTTCTTTTATCAAAAAATCTTCATCCATCTGGCCAAAAGACGACTTTCAGTCATCATCTCCCGCGAATATCGTCCCAAAAATGCTCCCCATGTGATTTCAAAATGGCGGCCGCGCTGTAATGTATGCATTATGCGGGCGCGCTCGTGCAAAATCATGAATATGCATAAACAGTCTGTGACGTCAATCAAATTAGCTTTTTGCCCTTCAAGGACGTTTAAACACTGTATACTCAGTGTGTTACCTCCCGAGTGAAAGTTGGAAAAATCACTCGAACCCACGACCTCCTGCTTTCTAGTGCAGATGTCTTACCACTCGACCACCGAGATAACGAGTGATTTTTTCCAACTTTCACTAGGGAGGTAACACACTGAGTATACAGTGTTTAAACGTCGTTGAAGGGCAAAAAGCTAATTTGATTGATATCACCCCGACGCAAAAATTCCTTCTTATAATAGTTTATGCGGTACCCGCTGCTATGTACAACAGATTCAAACCAGCCAACCGATCCCGTTAGCTCGGTGGTCCAGTGGTAAGACATCTGCACTAGAAAGCAGGAGGTCGTGGGTTCGAGTCCCACCCGAGCGATTTTTTCCAACTTTCACTCGGGAGGTAGCACACTGAGTATACAGTGTTTAAACGTCGTTGAAGGGCAAAAAGCTAACTTGATTGATATCACCCCGACGCAAAAATTCCATCTTATAATAGTCTGTGACGTATGACCTCGTGTTTTTGGACGTGCGTGCGGCGGGGCCGCCGCGCGGACGTACGTGCGCGCGCCCGCATAATGCATACATTACATTCAGCGCGGCCGCCATTTTGAAATCGCATGGGGGAGCTTTTCGGGACGATATTCGCGGGAGATGATGACTGAAAGTCGTCTTTTGGCCAGATGGATGAAGATTTTTTGATAAAAGAACGTTTTTACAAAAAGATATGAGTTACTCTACGACTACGAACCTCAACTTTGGAAATTTTGTTCCTGGATGAGAAGATAATCTCGATCAAAATCGGTAGCAAAATCGCTACATCAGAGTTCAGGGTTGAGGGGCGCATTAGACTTGAAATCAAGTCTGTAATGAGTGGTTTTAATCGCGTCCGCCGCGCGCGACTGCCAAGCTCTGTGCCGGGGGTACGACATACCGCATGATGTCCTAGTAGCGGGGACGCTACGTACATTTTCGACCCCATGCGTGTGCGATCCCATGCGTGTACTGCATTACAGACTTGAATAACTCGTTGTCAGTTTGTGCACAGGCAATGAGACTTGCTACCAAAATTGGACGGAGCAGTCTGATTGGTTAAGAATCAAGAAAATATGAATATTCAACAGGCATCTCTTAGCCGATGCGTTTTGGCTTGCACGACGCGACGACACACACACACACGTACTGTACACTGTGCACTGTACATGTACATACATGTACACACAATACAACGCCTGATTATCGCGGCGTCTTCACAAAATATATATCCGCTTCGGATTTCCTATCGCCCAACGTTAAAATGGAGGAGTTGGAAGCTGGCACCGAAAAGTATAGAGGTTCCATTGACCATGGGTTGCGAAAACTGGGGATTTCCAGTGCTCTGAAACCCCAACAAACTGAGGCAATCACAAGTTTTCTTGACGGCAACGACACCTTCGTGAATCTAACCACCGGGTACGGGAAATCCCTGATATAGCACATGGGCCAAAAAGAGCTTACGTTTACAGTCGGGTGCGCACTTTATTTTTTGAAGGGGATTTACAATTATTCGTAACAGTTTCAAGTTCCATAATTACAGTAAATGTCACTCCTTTTTATTCAAAGACAATTGCAAAAGTACTAATAATATCTACAATGTTATACTCTTTTTTACCGTAATTTTAAAACTAGGACTGCCATATCAAATGGAAACTTCAAATGATCGTGTAATAATTACCCCTATATTTATAATGGATGTTTCTTCATAAGCCAGATGGGCTACCATTTGCCCGCGCTATGGAAATACATGCATATGCATTGCAGTGGCTGCATATATGAATATTCGCTTGAAAACGTGTTAGTCAAGTCGTTAGACACGAACTGACCATGCCGCGCGGTGTACGTGTATGAACATGTACATGTACATCGTACATGTACTGTACATGACTTTTGCATGACTGGTTGTAGCGCTCACGTTGCGTGAACGGCGGTGGCATGGCCGGTATGCGGATTCTGGCGCTGATGACGGGCATAAACCACTATAGTCTAACGACTTGCCATCAAGTCTAGGGGCGCATTGGCGGTCTGGCCGTACTACGAGCTTGCGATAGTACCGTACGGCCAGACGCAGTCGGGCTACTGTGAGCTGTGCGAATATTTCGCTGTTTTTGACTCCGATTCCATGTTTTAAATGATTGGTGAATCATGATTGTAGATTGATAAAGTTGGTAAGTTCACTAAGTTGTCATGTCGTTTTTGCCAAGACAATTTGCAACTCAAACAAAATGAGTAAACGACTAGTGTAGTGAGTGAGTGCGCTATGCTACGCGGTTGTGCTGTTAGACTTGGCCAAGTCTCACGTATGTTTCAGCCCAACCTCGTGCCCCGTGGAGTCGAGGCTGGCCCCGTGGGTACGATCTTGCAGCGCCATGTTTATTCCCATCATGCCTTGCGCGATCGTAACCCCTGGAATTGTGTAATTTAAATGTGCCTAAATACGGTACATTATAATTAGGGCTGCAGTTTATCCGTTTTACGTGCCGACGCCATCTTTAAAATGTTAAAAGTTGTGATTTAGAAGAATCGATCCTTTCAAACACAACGTGTGGACGTTGTGTTAATTAGCAAAGATTTGTATTAAATGTACGTACCCCTTTCGTGCCTTTACAACCACAGATACAGGGTTTTTTTTGCGAAAAACGCGGCTGACATAATCCATATCGTACAGGCTTCGCGACTTTTGCATCATAATTTTTTTTTTCGTACGTGACGTTACGTGCAAAGCTAAGCACGCGAGCGCATTATGAGCGCGCTCGGCGTGCAATCTTCGAAATGCCCGCGCAGTATGCTGTGAATAGCCATTCAGTCTTATTTACGTCATCATCACAGCCAGGGGTTAGTGTAAGGAACGAGCACGCGCCCCTGGAGTCGAGGCTGATTTTCAAGTGATGCAGCAACCCAGACTGCCAAGCGTACGCGCTGGTTTGTTCCACGTTTGTACACAGTCTATGGAAATTAATTCTCGATGTGATTGGCTTCTACCGATTTCGGTAGAAGCCAATCATATCACAGTATTTCAGGTAATGAGCGTTTTTATTCTTAAAAACGCGCGCAGATCGTTTTGATATTATTCCTAACACGCAATCAGCGTTGTCTGCGTATTCAGGCAGCCAAAGTTTCGCGGAGAACGCACACGCATCCCATGGTGAGGACATAGATATAGAACTTAAGTTCTATATCTATGGGTGAGGAGTAGAAACAGATACACGCACGCGTAGGTTCGAATGCTTTGAAACTGGTATGCACAACATGAAGCGGTATCAGTGGTTCTCATCTTTTACAGGTTAACCCCAATAAAAATTCGCTTTTGTTTTGAATAACATTTGAATGTCGTATTCTTTATTAATTCAATCCAAGATCAGCTGATCTTAGCATTATCCCAATATAATGTGTTTGAAATCTACAAATTAAGATTACGTTTTTAAACTTTTGCAGATTGTTATCCAGCCTTCCATACCTACTGAAAATAATAAACGAGTCTTCAAAAATTGGTTACTTTGATTGGTTAAGCGATGTTGCTGCTTATGCATAGAGATGGTGTTGCATATGCATCGATGAATACAGGCGCGTGCACGCGAGGGGGGGGGGTGCTGATGGCAGATTGATCAAGTCGGAATTGCTAACTTTTGCAACACATGTATGCACATGCTCTGCAATACATGCACACACATGTACGTGTAATACGCGTGTTGTACAATGTACATACAGTGTGTGCGCATTGTTATACGGCACTAAAGTGAAACGCGTGCTGAAGTGTACCTTGTCGGGCATCTGGAAAGACGTAAACTAAGTGATTTTTGCTATTTTTTTTAAGATACCGACTTAAAGCAATTTCGACTTGAGTCAGTCTATGTACTGCCACGTTTGAGGCTCAGAAAATGCTGCTTTTTTGAAGCTTTTTCGAGAACCCCTCTTCCAAACCACTTCAAACTTGGCACTGCACATTCTGTTGTCCCGAGCAATACACCCGCCGATTTTCAACTTCATACGGTGCCCGGTTCTGGAGATAATCGACGGACAGACAAACAGACAGACAGACAGACAGACAGACAGAGATTCCTTGAATTATAGTATAGATGCAAGACGAACCAAACACATGCTGTGTTCACGCGCTCTGTATTATGTTACGCGATACGCGCCAAAGCTTGGGTTTTATGGATCTATTCCCGGCCGTTGTTGTATTACAAAATACTGCATTCGAATTGACCAATCAAAACTAGTCAAGATTTCGGAATGAAATGACGTCACGATTTAGTAACGTCGACTCCGATTGACTGACGCGAGGAGTCGCATAAATCTGCATGCTTAGATATATCAAACGTTAGAACGGAGACTGGGCTTCGTGGACAGTGGGTGATACACAGACTAGCAAAAAGGGGGCTATTATTGCAAAACAAGTTGCTTTTACCATGCATAATCTGAGCGATTGTTTTTCCTTTAGCATTTCTGCATTTGGTCAATAGACATAGAGTAATTAAACATCATACCAAGAAAAACATCTGCTTAGGCCAAAAAAAAAATGTTAAGCACCTTCCTGCCTTTTGAAAAAAATAGAGGAGGCCCTTTTTCCCCCTTCCAAAATGGCCGCACAACCGGGCTATTTTTCAAGATGGTCGACAATTTTTTTTTTTTAAACGGCCACCGATTGGACTCAGGAATGCCATACCAGCTTTATATGGGCTAGATGCAACAGACAAAGAGGCCAAAATGATGTCACTGTGTAAAATTTATCATGTTTTCGTGTTAAAAAAGGAGGCAGCCTCTAAACAGAAAGTGGGCGGGGACGCTAAACATTTCTTTTTTAATTTAGCCTTAAGTACAATTAATTTTAAAATACGCAGAAGCGACTCATTTTTTAAAAGCAGTAAATGGCACCTTAAATAAAATGTACTCACTAGTCGTAGTGCTATTCTAATTCAGACTGCGTGGTTAAATAATCACATACATGTAGCATAAGTTTGAATCCGTTAATTACATGAGTAATGTAGATCACTCCTTCTCCTCCCCTTCCTGATACGCCATTGTTGTATCCATGCTCACTCAGCATCGATGTGGATGGTAAGGCTATCTGCCCTTCCAACTGTTCCATCTGTGGGGATAAGAATACAAAAGCAGTAAGTTACGGCATAAACTTTAACTTCAATATCGACAAACATAGATAGATATTCCTTTGCTTTATCAGACCTGCAACATGTTGATGCATCTTCTGCAGCCACTTATAATCATGGGCGTCGCCAGAGGGGTGGGGTGTGGAACCAGCCCCCCTCCCTTCCCTCCCTCCCCCCCCCCCCTCCGTAATCATTTTTATCGGTAACATCGTCGTTTTGTCGACAAAACTTTGAGCCTGTTGGCAAATATGCCCTGTACGGTAGTGTCGATTATGTCCAAGGTGGTCCGCTTTGAACAGCAACCCCAAAGTATGTTAGTTTCTATCGACAAAGCAATATTCATTAACGAAACCAGGTAATTGTTTTCAGTTACGCGGTTTTCCCTCCGTTAAATTCGAAAATCGGCAGAGTGGTCGTGGGGTATTTATGCACGTACACCATCTTTCAAATGGGGCGGCCTCCAAATAGGAAGCGGGCGGGGACGAGAAACATGGTTTTTTTTTTCACTTCGCCTGATCAGATTAACTTTGTTTAACAACGGGGACGCTTATTAGACATTCGCAACCACACGGCTGCCTTGGCGAAGGCAAAAATACATAAGTCCGATTTAACTCGCAGACTGTACCCTTTTCTTACCGTTTGAACGCACACGGTCCCACGTCACCGTGCTGTTGGTTGCGCTGTAGAGTATGAATGGGTAGGGATAAGCCGCCGTCTGTTTGTCCCAGGGGCAGACTAGTGAGTTAGACTCGATCACAACCAGCCAGCCTCCATCTCCCTTACATCCTCCAAAGTTGTTGTTGATGTGAAACCGCCAATCCCTTTGTTTTATGCCAAAGTGATAGAGACAGAGAAAGAACCAACTAAAAAAGTAGACTGGTTTCCCAACTACACTTTAAAAAAACAACCGACACTTTTATGGGCCAAAATGACGTTGACAGTGATGCAATGTTTGTGAGAGAAATGATGTGGATCGACCACGGGGATATTAAACTATACTTACCTTTGATTAATACCGTAAATGCTGAAGTACTGACCACGACCTCCAGTTAACTGAGCCGATTTGAGATCATCCCAGGATGATGAAATCAGGCGTGTCTGTGTGAACCAACTCTTGATGTCGGAGCCGGTTCCACTGAAGATCAACTCGGCTCTCACCCCCGAGCTGTCATGTAGGGAAAGATTTACCTTATAGCAGAAAAAGAGAGGGTATATATAGGCCTATAATCGTGTGTCAATTGTTTTAATTGCAAGGTAGCTATTCTTCTGTTATTTCCTTGCATAGCGTATCGCATCAGATGTTTGTTTGTATCGCTCAATACACAGACTCAGAGCGGCCATTCAAAAAAAACTTTTTTTCTTTGTCCTTCCATTTTGGAACAACACATTACAATTTGATACCCTTACTTGTCCAGCAGATATAAATATTTTGACAAAAAATCACCTTTTTCTTTTGAAAAATCTTTCTGTATTAGAGAGTATAGGTTGGTTTCCTGATCACTTCTCTCGTACGATAGAATGGAAATGAAACTTGTTGATTATAGGCCATTTTCAGTTCTCAAATCAAACTTATAGCCTTAAGTAAGATTCGTAGTATTTATAGAATAATTTCATAATAATGTGAAGAAGCCATTAACTTCGTTGCTAATGCTTTATACTGTTGCTTCTTTCAGTCTTTTGCAAGTTTTATAACGTTCAAGCCATAACGTAACATGCACAAGCCATGTGACAGTGATATTGAATGCACCCATTGTTTGTGTGTTAATATCGATTTTTGGCACACAAATTAATGATGTATTAAATGCAGCTGTGATTTCATCATTAGGGTTTGTGACTCATTTGCATACGCGCTATGTGCACTTTCAGCCTATCCGGTTCTCGTTATAATGTGACGTCATCTCAACTTAACAGGGCATACCACCAAAAGGTTGTAAATTAATGCGCGCGAACTCATTAATATTTTGTGATCCCGCGGGTAAGGTCCTTGCGGCCTATGTGATTGGTTGTAGAAATATTTATGTCAATCAAATATTTGTGACATCTGGCTTCAAACTCGGGCGCTTTTGTTCGAAAAAAATCCAAATTTGTGGGTCTATTTTGCATAGATGCGGGGTTACATCATGGGCCCAGGGATTGGCAACCGTTTTAGGGGTACGGGAGAGGGGGTATCAAAACAGATTGACATGGCTATGCGCTACCTCTGGTAAAACAGAAAATTAGTTGTAATAATTAATTTCCAGTGAAAAAAAACCTTTGCCACCTTGCTCCTGAGCGTCACACGGCGCGCTCTTTGTGTCTGATTTTGCGTCGTTTCCTATTTGAGCATGTATTTGGTGTAGTGCAACACTAGTCTTGTGGGGGTGGGAGTGGGGTGTCAAAGGATTAGGAATGACCAGGATTGGGTGCAGAAATAGCGAGCCACTTCTCACCAGGAAATGTCCCATGTGGTCTGCGCGACATATAGCCCCTCCTAGTCAAACTCTTACTGCCCGGCTTCGAAGTTTTTATTTACACAATAGTACAGGCGACTCGAATCAAGGTTACAGGATTCAGATTTTGTTTTGTTTTTCAACAATTTTAAGTTTTATCTTAGAAATGTTACTTTTCAGTCGGATACTAATTGTATAGCAGCAATTTTATTTTCTGATTCGAGGCTCTGGAGGATTTTTTTGTTTAAAAGGGAAATAAAGTCCGAAATCCGTACCAAGTTGAATAATACTATAGCCTCCACTCTTGCCTGGTAACAAAAAAAAAAACATTCTCCATAGGAAAATGCACAAAGTACCCCAGATGGTTGTGTGAAAAAATATCCTGTTTAGAACAGAGGGCACCGGTTTGCAGGCAGGCGGGTTTGCTCCTGGCAGGTGGGGCTCGTAAGCCATGGAAGGCAGTCCATTAAAAATATCCGTAAATTTACGGACTCCGTAAATTGAAATATTCCGTATATTTTGCCGTAATTTTACGTACTTTCTGTAAATGCAAATATTATTATGCTAATTAACGTGATTGCAATTAACCAAATTTGACCATGAAAAATCTTTTCCGGAAATTTTGCTGCAGGAATACGGAACGCAATTTTTTTTGCTGGCAGCAAAATTTCCGGAAAAGTTTTTTCATTCCGTAAAATAAACAGACCCTTAACATGAGTTTTGACATGTGTAAACGGTTGTGGGTGAAATAACAATATGTACTTAGATGTACTTTATTATCTGTAGGTGTTTGGTCACATTTGGTTGATTGTAATCACGTTAATTAGCATAATTAATATTTGCACTTACGGAAAGTCCGTAAAATTACGGCAAAAAATACGGAATATTTTAATTTACGGAGTCCGTAAATTTACGGATATTTTTAACAGTGATGCATAGGAGAAAGAAAATTCTGATTTCAAACCCTTTTTGCTTTGCTTTTAGTCAGCACAACCCTAGCGCTGGGCAGCAGCAGCACTTTCGCAGGTATGCTGACGGTTGTCTGTGCCCATGCATTTACACATTCTGAGGGACACCACCAACTGCACGTTCCATTTTGTGTAATAAGATGGCGGCGCCCATGCCACGAGTTCGTGTGAAGACTTGGTAAGTTCGTTCCATATTTACTGGTTTCAAAGCACCGATAAACACCATAATAATAAACTACTAAATTGTGACAAATTTCATTTTAAAAACATAAAATGGGTTTATAAGGTGATAAAAGAATCACGAAAATAGACCTAAAACATAGTCAAGAAAAGACGACGAAAGTTATCATTTAGTAAGTAGTTTGCATTAGGAATCAATCGAGTAGCGTAATAAGAGAAACAAAATATTGTATAAATCATTGGTGAATACATTAAGTTTGTATGGCATAGTGGCAAGCTATGGGCCCTCTATTTCGTTATCCTGACATACTTACCCGTCGGACATTCAGCTGTCCGTTGCGCCAGGCTTGGTAGAGGGAATTATCACGGCGATGGCCACTGGCCTCATAACTCGAGTTCCAGTTCATTGCGGTCCACATGTCATACAGACTCACCCCAGTTCCTGCCACGCCTTTGAACACCAGTCGCCACTCTGGGTCTATAGGTAAGACAGCATTTTTGGTATCGGCCTACAGGAATCGCTAACAGATGCTGCCTATTTAGTTCTGATCGTGCGTGTACATAAGTCAAGACCGAACCGTCAATTAATTCAACCCTTCGAGCCGCGAGCCCAAAAAATATTACGCGGAGTGGCCACATGGAGAAGTTTATCACCACACTTTCTAGGTCAATAACCCCCTCATGCATGGTCATGCACAAGATATAGGACAGTCACTTGGCCTTTGTGTGGGCAAGAATTGTTTACACCCTGTCTGAGCTCTGGGCGACACGAGGGGTTGACACAGAGAGTGATCGGCGGCACAAAGGGGTTGGCCACTAAGATATCCAATCACTGCACAAAGGATTAAGCGCCTCTTGGGGCTGCTGTCTTTCAACACTCTTTACCTTGCAGTGATTAGGGTCTGGCCAATGGGAGTCTACAGGCTTGTGGTGTAGGGGTGAGGATTACATGCAAGCTTGGCCTTATTGGCCCATTGAAAAAAAAAATTATGACCGTATTTGGAAAATGTGGAAAATGTTATCACCGCCTGGCTTCTCCGAGGGTTTTCATGAATTTGAAAAGGATCTAAAATAACTGAAACAAGAGATTATCCGAATACGAATTTTCAATGTGTATGTTTCTGTTTTAACGGTGAAAAAATACTTTATTCCGATTTTGGACGTCTGCAACCCTAAGACTTTCATTTTGTGTATAACCCGTCCTGCGAGAGCTGAATTATTGTCTGGCGGCCAATAATTCGATTTTTGTGGGGAAAAAAAATTGCAAAAAAATCCATCTATTTTTCGAGGTGAAGTTTGAAAAAAAAAGCACGGAAAATTAATCTTTTTCCTACTTTATAAAATAGGATCATTTGTACGCTGCAATCACTTATAATGCATTTACTCCGAAAAGAAAACCAAAGAAAGCCACAGCCATTAACTGCCTGCTTACTGCCTCGGCTTCTCACCCAAACGTCAATTGAGTACCAATGAATGACAAGAAATTAATGAAATTCCATTTGTCATTTCAATAACTGTATACTGTACTTAAAGATAAAGTCCATCATTTGTAATTTGTGCATTTTGTTCGTTTGAAGCAACAAAAGTGTTCCAAATCTAATGAAGGATACTGAACAACTAACCTGACGAAGTTTCAGCTCAGCTTCAGCTATATATTCCGAGAAAAACAGCATTCTAGGATCTCGATTTCAAATCAAAAACCATGTTTTGAATCGAGCTATATGCGATGTCGCGCACTGATCCGACGAATTACATAGATATATAATAAAAAGACTAGATCGGCAGCGCGGACTTATATGGAGGGTCACGTGCTGGAGGAAAAATACAAATAATGCGCGCAAAACGTGACGAACGCAACGCCGTTCACGCGCACAGTGCACCATTATAACGCGTGGGCGCATCGCGTAAATACTCGGTGCGCATTTCTGGCTTCGCGCGCGTTGAGCTTGGTCACGTGCTGGAGGAAAGATACATTTAGCTCCATTACTTTACGTTAATTTGTTGCGCGTCCACGGGACAACCAAAATGGCGGGGATTTATCACACAGTGAATGGGCGCGTGTGGACGCGCTGCCGATCTAGTCTTTTTATTCTATATCTATGGACAAATTATAGCAACCGCGCGCGCGTGTGCGTCGTGCCAAAGCTTGCGCGCGCTTCGCCGAATAAAAAAACGAACTACTAATTAAAATTTCCTACGGTGTGTCTTAAGACGTACCGTTGGAAAGGCCTTCTTTCGTTGATTACTTTAAAATGACAGCTTGCCAGAAAGAATAATTTCACAGGGAGTTTAGTCCACTTACAATCTTTCAACCAAGTATGTTTTTCAACAATAATTACGCCAGATGGCTGCAAATGATGGACTATAGCTTTAAAGCAAAATAAATAAGTTCTGTAATTTTCGGTGAGCTGCTATCATTTATAATGCAGTTACTCCGGGAAACTACACAAAGAGAGCTACAACCATGAACTGCCTGCTTTCTGCCTCGGCTTCTCGCCCAAACGTCAATTGAGCATTAATGATAAGAAAATTAATGAAGTCCCATTAACCATTTCAATTGTATACTTCACTTAAACAAAATTAATAAGTTATGTAAATTTTGGGTGAGCTGCTATCATTCATAATGCATTTTTATACTCCGGGGAAATACACAAAGAGAGCCACAGCCACTAACTGCCTGCTTAAAATTAATGAAGTCCCATTAACCATTTCAATTGTATACTTTATTTTAGCGCAAGGCCAACATAAACATTTAAATCATGACAGATTACCGGTACCGTCTGGTACGCACAAACGGCGGCGATTTCTAGAAAACATCAGGTAGGGGAGGGAGACTGCAATTTAGGCCTGTGAATTGAATGCTTGTTCCTGACAGTCCCAAGCATGTAATGACTTTTTACCTGGCGCTTTCACTTTCTGTTCAGTTCCCCGCTTTTTTCCGTCTTAACATCTTTTCTCTGATCATTATTGTGCAACAGTTATCACCAATGGGTACCAAATGAAGGATTTTCATTTAAAAAAAGAAAAAGAAAATGATCTCCAAATTCTCCCCATAACTTTCTGTCTAATGACGTCATCATTTTGAAACCTCGCAAACTAACGTTTTCTCCAAAGAATGTTTATGGGCAAGAAACCTTTTTACAAAATATTTCCAAATTAAAAGCTGTCGCTAGAGGGTGCCCTTTCGGATGATGACGTCCTCTTGCCCTGTTTTGTGTTTGGCATCCTAACTGACATTTCTGGCAATTTCAGCCGTGTGGTTGCGAAGGGCGATTTCTAAAGGTTACGTATAGGCCGAACACTTTATTTTGAATGAAACTACTTGCACACGGACATAAGCATTTTTCGTGTATATTAATATTCAAAATTATATCATTTTCAATACTTATTTGTGTATCCATTTAGTTCTTCGACAATTTTATGCGTCAACAACTGGAAGAAATAAGATCTATACACAGGCAAATGAAAGTGTTTTCTTTCCATTTCGTGCAAGAAATATACTTATGAAAAGCAATATGTATTTATATTTTCACATCTTTCAGAATACTCAGAGCAGGCCGACAGAAGCTTGTTCAAAAAGCTCTTTACGGCCAGACTAACTGATGACTTTTATCGAAACATTCTACAAATCGATAGAACAAAGACGAATTCAATCATTACATTATGTAGATGATCATCATAGTTGAGACGAATTCCATTGAAATCTGACGACATCGAATGGACAAATGTTGAAATTCATGGAATGACCAATGACTAAACCAATTGTAGCATTTGCGCGTTCCAGTCATCTCGAGGCGAAATTGAAGCTAACCGTTTATGAATTTGAATGAAAAAGTTTGAAAATGCGCGGGAAAACCTATATTTTGAAGGACACGACCTAATAAAATGATCACGGTTATTCAATGGCATTCATCATGTAAGTATTTCTCAGTGCTTACTTTGAACCATTGACTTACCTGTACCAGCTGGGGTGGGTGTCTCCGTAGCAGCCGGGGTGGGTTTCTCCGTAGCAACCGGGGTAGGTTGCCTCCTTCCCGGACATCGCTTCCGTATCTCTTGCATGACTTGTTTCATCCAGTGCTCCGGGTTATCAGGATCAGGTTCCGGTGGGGGACCGGAGTAACACACCCTCTGCTGGGTCTCCACACCAAACAGGAGCACTTTGGAATACAAACAAACAGCAAAGTGAATGTGGATAAACTATAGCATTTTTTTTGTAATTGACGAAGAATCAATGTGAAATCTGTTGGAAATAAAGCGGCGTTTTCATAAAAAGCGAATTTAAAGTTTGAGGTCTTTTAGTCCCACAGCTAAATGAAGAGATTTTTCTGTCCATGATGTTGTAAACTAATGAAGGTTTTCCGGGCCAATTTCGCAAAAATGGCATTCAAATTTATCTTGATAGTTGCCGATCAAAGTGCTATTTCCATGATTTTTTTAGTATTTGAAAGAAAAAGCTCTCAGCGTTATCTGATATCCAAATCATCAAAATTCACCAATCCCTTTTTGTTTTAAAGGCAAATGTTTTAAGTTGCATTTTTTTGGGGGGGGGGGTGTCACCCTATATATATATCCCATAATATACGGGCTTTGAAAACTAGTTTCTATGATGCTCTATAGCGGCTTTCCTCAGACTTGTAGAATGGTCTTTAATCCTCCATACGATATCACGTGTGGGTACTAGAGTGGGTACTAGGATTCAGAGTATAAGAATATGAAACTCAAGCTTACCTGCCATTGCTGATAGCATCAGAACCACAGCTGCGGCTCCGTCCATCCTCCCGCCAGATGCAGTGAATTCTGTGCAATATCAGTTTGGTTGGTGGTACTTATACCAGCGACTTCCTCATCACGCCAACCCGCATCAGTTACCACACACGTAAACCACTAAACAGCATGACGTCATCAATAGCCAATCAGGAAAAAGACTTGGACCCAGCAATGGCCGAGAATCCTCGAGAGTGATTCCCGTTTTTCTCCCAGAAGGGTTTTTCGCGGGTTTTTCGCCCCTCCCATAATTAGCGAATAAGGCCTATAGAAATATATTTGCCCGATGTCACAAGAAATGTCCAAATTCGTAGTGAACACTTATTTCACCTTAGGCCTTTATATTAGTAAAGTCTGTTAGCGCTGTCGTTTCAAACTGTACATGTTTCTTTATAATAGTAATGATGTACAATATCATGCAGTAATCCCATATGCTTTTATTTTATTTCATTGTGCTGTATTGTATTTGTAATGTATTGTATTTGTACATAATAATGTAGTTACTTGAAGTACATGCAGGGCCCCAATGGAAACCAATTTTATAACTGTTTGGGCATACCCTGGGTAAAAACTGTAATAAAAAAATAGATATAAATGTTGTCATATACGTTGTGTGCAAACAATACCAGCGCTTCAGAAGCTACGCAGCCAAACCATTGAACGAACTGACGTCATTTTACTAGCCAATCAGAAGTGAACCTGAACTTGAGGGATCGGAATATTTCTGATTGGTTAAATTCACAGCCTGGGCGGTACCTATGCTGGAAGCAGGTACAGTTATAGCCAATTAGAACTCTCTGGTCTGGGTTGAAATGTCAAATTTAATAGTCCATCGAAGTCGTAAACCGTCAGAAATCCATATGCAACGGCGAAGTACCGCGTGCCAAGGGCGGATCCAGGGGGGGGGCCAAAGGGGGCCATGCCCCCCCCCCAAAAAAAACGAAACCAATTTTTTTTTTTTTTAATGTGACATCGCAATAAAGGCAGGCAATGAGTACACCACCATCTTTTCCTCAAAATAAATTGGTTAAAGTGGTCAGAAATTGCCTCAGATCGCACCACAGAGCATCTAGAATCCAAAAAATTTTCGGGGCCCTTAAGCGGGCCCCGAACCCCACGCCGTAATTTTTAAGACCCACTTTTTGGGGGGACCAAAATTTTTTTTTGGCCCCCCCAAAAATTGTGTTCTGGATCCGCCCTTGCCGCGTGCGAACGAAAACTCCACAATCCAATTTAGAAAAGCCTATTGACACCAGAATCAAAAGCTCTTTATATGCAAGAGGGCGCTCTTTTACTGTCTGTTCCGGTTTTTCCTTTCACTTTCGGTACTTTTGTAACATGTCTTTTCTGTTGCCAATACTTGTCTGTTACCAATTATGTTATCTCTCTGTTCCTGCTAGGTTTGGTCTCTACAGGTCCTTGTTACTACCCGTGCATTTGAACTATCGTCCTGCTGCTTGACTCCCTCCCAATACGACTGCAGCATGGGCCTACTAAAAAGGCATTTCTTGAGATCTTCATTAGTTGGTCTTAGTGATGTGAATCTCCATTCCATTTTCGTTCACAACAGTTTGGTCATAATTATCAGACCCTCTCCTGGCTGCGTTGGCTAATATAATTGATTAATCTTATATAAATGTATGGTTGCGCTATCGTGTAAATATGATGCAATCTAACCAAACTAGGAAACATGCAAGCGAAGCGCGAGCGTAGTGAAATATACTGAGAGAAATTCACCGAATATGCTTTCTTGTTATTCTAAAGCATCGGCAATACAAGTTGAAAATTAGTGGTGAAATTGCTCAGACTGCGCACTGTACTGGCGTAAAATGTGGTGATTCTTTTTGGTGTTAAAATAACAGGGTATTGTCCAAATTAACACCGATTGCTGGTGCCACTACGTTTGGTGTTTAAATAAGTGACCGCCTACTGCTGACGTAAACGGGGTAATCCTATACGATATGTGTAATCATATGCGATAGTACTGCCCGGTTCACCATGTCACCAACCTTCAAGCAATAGCGCGCGGTGCCATACTCTAAAATGGGGGTGGGGTGGGTGGGGGTGAGGCAATGGGGGGGGGTGGCAAATATTTGGGGGGGGGGGTGGACAGTCACTGGTCCGGAAATGAGCCACTAGAGCAATTTGGAAGTGTAGTCGTTTTCATGAATGAGAAATATATCAAATAAAACCGCAGAATGGTGTATAACAAAGACGTTGACTGGACACTATACGGCTGTATAAATGCATGTGTGGCGTGTTTTGTCCAAAGTACCAATGTTTATAATGCTTTGATTGGCCCAAACTGTGTCCACAGAACCGATATATATATTCACTCTCTATCTTCAACTTGTTATGAATCTTAACAGCGAAGAAAATAAACATAATTAATTTTTAGATAAGGTATGGGGGAAAACTGGGGGGGGGGGGGGCAAACGGGGGGGGGGGGGGGTAAGGAAACACTACTTGGGGGAAAATACCCCCCCCCCCCGCCCCGTTGCGCTGCCACTGCCCAAAGCCAGCCTAAGTCACAAGTGTGTGTCAGTCGTACGTCGATCAGTCAGGCAGTCAGTCGGTGAGATAAGTGCAAACAGGACAGGTGACCGGCCCTCTCTGGGATTTTGGGTCAACTCGTACCCGAGTCAACTCGTACCCAGGTTAACTCGTACCCGAGTCAACTCGTACCCGGGTCAACTCGCACCCGGGTCAACTCGTACTCCCCTCCTTTTTTAGTTTGGAAGTACGGATGGATGGTTAACAAAACTTCCGATTTTACCCTCAAAAACGGCGACTGAGAAATAGTAGTTACGCCGCCAGAAATACAAATAAAGTTCAAGGATTAGTTGAAGGCGGTGGTATCAAATGTTGCTCACAATCTGGATGAAAAGGGAAAATGTACCGTTCATCAGCAAGGGCTTCATCGCGAACGGACGGGTACCGCGCGGAGAACATTTTCAAAACGGCATCAGTGTGGTACTCGCGAGTCGACGGAGCCCTCGCTGATAAACAGTAAATTTCACTTTTCATCCAGATCGTCAGATGTGTTATTTTAAAATTTGTGTAGTATTTTCTCTTAGTAATGATGTTTTTCCTTTCTTTTTTCAGAGACCCTGGATCACTGAGATTGCGGAGTGACTGTGCGAACTGCTACGTCTTTTTTTTGTTCGGTCGAACGTGTTTTAAGGGCATAGTTTTCTTTTTACGAATTTAGTATTTTAGACCTTTTTTCTTTTAAAGAAAACTGCTATTAAAAAATGAATTTTGTAATGTAAAAGTAATATTTTTCAACGTTCACTCACTCCATTTTTGGCATCATTTATTGAATAATAACTGCACATGGCACAAATCTCTTTGGGAAGATTGGGGGCCCTGAAAGTACAAATCTGAAGAGAAAATATATTACAGAAAACTTAAAAGAGTCACACGGACATCGTTATTTAATTTATAATGATTCTTTAATATGTTGGTCATTTTTTGTACAATTAGTTCGGTAAATGTCGTTAAAAAAATCTTGTGCAGCTTAAATAAAGTTTCTGCGATAAGTTCAACTAGAATATTATTTTGGTAACAACAGAAATGTAGGATTTTTAATTATTTGTTTACATTTGAGGCATCAAGGAAGTAAACACGATAAAGGAAAATGGTGGCTCGTTTCATTCAGAGATGTCACCGTGCACGGACGACCACGTGGACCGGCGAGTGCGCGCACGGGCCCGGCAAAAACGATGTCACTCAGTGCACGGTACGACCACGTTGACCAGCGAGTGCGCGCACAGGCTCGGCACAAACGATGTCACCGTGCACGGACAACCGGCCATATCCCTCCGATCTTCCGTTCGTTTCACTGATTTTCTTTTCGAAAATGGGCAACTATTTTGAGCTGCGGGTACGAGTTGACTCGGGTACGAGTCAACTCGGGTACGACTTGACTCGGGTACGAGTTGACTGGGGTACGACTTGACTCGGGTACGACCTAACTCGGGTACGACTTGACTTGGGTGTCAATTTTGGGGTACGAGTTGACTCGGGTACGAGTTAACTCGGGTACGAGTTGACCCATTTCCCTCTCTGGGACCAGTACGAAAACCTCATAAGGTAGCAGACCAGTAAATAAACTTCCATAGACCCCAATGGTAAATGCTCCCACTTCAAAAATTCGGGAAAAATACTCACAACTCTCCAAGGTGTTCGAGACACACATCAAATTAAAGCTTATTTCATCATCTTTCATTTTCTTTTCAATTTTTGGGGTTCAACTGATGACTTTTAGGAGAAATTTCCATCTGAAGATGATCACCCCTGAAAATAGTCCTGAAGCCCATCGCCATTTTGAAAAACGATGCCTACACTCCATTGCAAAATAGAGTGCTTTTAGGGTCAAAATTACATCAAAATTACACAGAACTGCAAGCTCCCAGTCCTGTGCACGGCTTCCACCCATATTTTTTTTACAAACCCTCAAGTTCATGGCCCTCAGCATGCTCAAATACCGAAGATTGTCTGCACCCATAAGGAAAATACGAAGAGGGCGCTATTTAGCAGAACCGTAAAGTTTCGGGCCGTGGCATTTATTTTTGTTTTTGGTGTGTAATTTGGCTGGTGTCCTGCTCCGTGTGCGTAATGCAATATGCCGGAATGGGAACCATGGCTGTCAATTGCTGTGGGAATGTTCATGCGGTGAGCTGCGAGTGCTGAGAGCTGTGCGAAATTTCGCTGTTTTTGACTCAATTCCATGTTTTAAATGATTGGTGAATCATGATTGTGGATTGATAAAGTTGGTAAGTTCACTACGTTTTCATGTCGTTTTTACCAAGACAATTTGCAACTCAAACAAAATGAGTAAATGACTAGTGAAGTAGTGTAGTGAGTGAGTGAGTGAGTGCGCTATGCTACGCGGTTGACAGGTTGGACGAAGTCTTCATTGCATTACGACTGACGTCCAGGATGCAGATGAGAATTCTCTACATAAGACCACCCAAAATTTGGACCAGATTTTTGTTACGTTTTACCTCGTTACAGAAGCTTATTTCACGCCTACATTTTCTATGTGTCCTTCTCTATTGATCTCCCGCCAAACATATATATTTTCACCTCACCTTGTGATTTCACCCAAGACGAATCCAGGAAGCTCCGGCAATGCGAAGTAATTTTTAGGAAAAGTGTGTTTTTAGAGCACATTTTGGATGCACACGTCGTGCAGAACTAAGATGGAGGCAGCCGGCCGTAGTGATTGAAGTGTCTGGAAGTCTAGCGGTAGGTTACGCATGACATCGACAACGTATATGATCCAGCCAATGATAGTGCAATATTTCATTATTTAATTTCTCATGAATATTTAGTTTATTTAATATTCATTAGTTTTATTTCAATGGATGCTTTAAATACGTCCAAAGATTGATCATTGCAACAGCGATCATGCGCGGCCCAGTGGTAAAAGTGTTGTGTTTCAATGAAGAGTTCGAGGTTTGAATCTCGATGAAGTAAGTGACTGATTAATAAATAGGAATAAAGGAAAGGAGAGGGTGAGAGTAGAGGAGGGAAAGTGGAGGAAATAACCATAAAAGATGCAACTTTTGGCGCTTGAAAATTAATTGAAAAAAAGGAGGCCTGGTTTGGAAAACTTCCCTTTCACCATGTCTGTCAAAAAGATACCATCTATATTTTAACCATAGAGCTATATTAAATTACTAGAGCGCTAACTCATCATTCTGCGCGTGGAGACGCTTTGAAGCCGTCCTTGGCGCAGACATTTTGAATTCATGTGCGTGTTTGTAGAACATAATGAAATTAGATGGATTGAATTTTGAAAGTGTACTCTACATGCAAGGCGCAAGTAGCGCGTCATTGACAGTTAAAAAAAAAGGGACGGCAAAAAGCATCTGCAGCGAATATGCGCACGCGTTGCGCTGTTTGCATAGAGCAAAATGACACGCTCATAAAATTTGCTGATCGTGCGTTTCGGTTTTGGGCGTATTGGCTTTGATAACGCACCGGTATGGAATACAAACACAGATATGCAAATAACCATACAAAAGCCGTACAAAATTTCTAGGTCTCCATAGATTTGTGCACAAACATGGATACGCCCAGCAGGCATTACTTTGTACACGAAGTTAGCGCTCTAGTAATTAAATATAGCTCTATGATTTTAACACAAATCTTTAATGGTGCTCTGTCCATGGAAGTTCCGTTGTCTGGTTCCCATTTGCAGCAAAGGTTAAATGACGTCGAAAAAGACATTTCCACCACAAAATTGTAACAACTTAAGGACATGGAACCCAAATAAGGACTAGTGCGTATGTACAAATAATGACACCGTATCAAGTGAATGTGCGCCCCCAATCGTCAACCCGTCTCTGATATTTGTTTTCCCTTTCGGGGGCCAGGGTGTTTAGAAATCATCATGCAGGCGTAATCGTCTTATTCAACATGAACTTTATTAGGCAATTAACAGACTTTTATCAGGGGATGAGCAAGGCTAACAGTAACTATGAATGAAAAAGTTCAGGTTACCACAGCATCCACTTCCTGCCTATTGCGATAATAGAGAGTTTATCTCCGCTCACATACTGTGCGGATACATATTCACACAGGCGTCGTACAGGAAATAAATCGAACCACTAACCATTTAAAAAAAATAGTAGTTGATACAGGTACCTCCCAACATTTTTTTAACCAGAAAATATTTTTTACTATTTTGTTTAAGAAGAAACATTTTCGATTTTATTTTCTAGAGTGAACATTGTACTTTTGGCCATTTCTGTATGATTTTATTCAAACATCAAATAAATTGAAACAATACATGTTACTGTACATGTTGGTTAAATTGAACAATTAAATCTTGAAATTAGAAAAAAAAATGAATTGCTACATTTGTAAATTGAAATCAATGCATTATGCACCCCCCCCCCCCCCCTATTGGTCAAGAAATAAAATGGATACACATGTATGTATGCATTTATCAGAAGTTTTCTGGCATGGAAGTGTGCATACAAATACATGTGTGTATACTCACAGTCGTGAATTTCAATACGCTCGAGGACAATGCTTTGTGTTTCCAGTTGTCCCTGTAATATAACACTCTCCCATAGACTAAGCACATAACCGTATGATCGAGGAACGTTTCCAACAAAAGACCCAATGCTCGGGGACTGAAAGGATCTTTTGTTCTCCCTTTGTGTGTCTGTCCTCTATCGTAAAGCCATACAAGAGCATTGTAAGTAAATGTTTGTGTGGGAGATTCCTTTCATATCCCAATTCAATCAAGACAATGGTAGACGTGATCATTGTCAGGTTTGCCAGACTGTAAAAGATCACACAACAATAGATTTTCACAATGGGCAGTGTATTTCCTGTACAAACCTTTGCAGGTCAGGGATGTATGTATTCATGAAAGTTGGTGAAATGATCCAAGGCTAAAAGTTCAGCCCGATCTTGTTATGAGTCAGTCGTTGCATGAGGCCTTTTTCCTGGTGCGTTCAATTGGCTTACATGTGTAAGTCAAACTTACCGGTACATGTACACGAAAAAAATAAGTGATTCTTGTAGTCTGGTTCCCTGACCCTACTTCAGACGAAATGGAACAGTTTATTGTCAAGTCGGGGAACTAGACTAGAAGGATTGCACCTGTTCACGCTTGCTTAACCGATTGCAAACAAAATGTCAACAAACTAAATTTGGTAATTTGGGGGCACTATTAACCAAAAAGTCAGTTTTTTTTTCCAACGATGGTCAGCCGACCGTCTGTGGAAATTGATACAAAAGTCCACTTTTCTTGAAAATGACAGCACACCAGGTGCCATGATTTCACAGGATGCTTGAGACTATTATTCACTTACAGTCAAGTAAGGTATTTCATAGTAATTTGGTACTTTTGTTTTTTGATGTTTGCAAATGTTGTATATATTGCCTGTACGCAAACTACAGTGTACATGTATGATGTACATGTTCATACAGCACACACTACAGCTTCACTGTTGAAAACACTGTATTTTCAAGGCATGTTACATATATATATTTCAAACACACTAACAGTAACACATCCTGTATGTCTGTGTGTACACTTGGCTACACATGATGTTCCCTGTGAAAGCTATGATGGGAAATCAACAAGGCCATACCATGTCTACTCTGTTGGAATGTCAACCATTCAGTCATCAGTGATTGCATTAGGCTAATTACCCAGGGTCTATCCAGGGCTATAGGTCAGTCTTCAGGCCATGTGTATTAAAGGGACATATTACACCCAGGAATGCGCCAATTGGGCTACTAACCATTTTAAATGAAATGATGTTAATTGGAAAGAGCATTTAAAAGTAGGATATAAACGTCCACACAACCAACCTTTAAAAACTGGACGTTTTTGTGCTATTCTTGCGAGAACGAATTTCGGGGGTCAAAATTTCAACTCTCAAAAATCGAGCTGTTGAGTGCTACATGTAGTTCGCACATCGCATTCAGTGGATGTGCGAGAAACAACATAAGTTCAGGTGCTGTATGTGTTATGTGTCACACACAATGTGTATCGAACATTGACTTGACATGGCTGGACATATGCGTATATGCCACAAAATATTAGCCAATTCCGATGTAAACAACCGGGTTTTTCTGTCTTTTCTTGGGAACGGTAAGATGTTAGGTTAGTTTCCTTTCAACCAGACCTTTGAAAAGATAAATAAACAATCCAAAACATACAATTTTGGGGATTTCAGGCCGTAGTGCCCCTTTAAATCCAGAACATTCGGATCTCTGCAAGTCTCAGCAATGCCTACACTAGCTGTAGCTCTAGCAAGCTGTTTCTTGTACATGTGCTTGACCTCGTGCGAATACTATACTTGCGAAAGCTGTGCATGCATTCATGTGTACAACTACATGTTTCTTTTTTTGGTGTCTTGCAACCCTCATTAGAAAAGGCTGTGATAAATTTTGGGTTGTTTTTTGTGCACATGCATAATATAGTCCACTCTGAGAGTAGACTGGTTCCGGACCCCTTCATTTGTGATCCTGATTGGGGCAGGAGCCAGTCTACCTTGTGTAATTATTGTTTGGTTACAAATAATGTGGAGTTTGTGAAATACAATACATCTTATTCCATAACTAAACATGTATCAATTTTTTGTACATATTTTATTAAAAAAAACTGTATTGCTAAAAAAAGAGCAATTTCAGAATAACACATTAAAAAAAAAAAATATTGGGGGGGGGGGTGAAACTCGAAAATACCATATAGATAAGAACATTTCAATAATCCTAAGCAATGTCAAGTAGGCCTAAGTGTTGATAAATCATGATTTATATCCATTAGACAGCCTGCTACATGTAGGAAGTTTTATAATCTGATCAATTGCAGGTAGTGAAGAAAAGGAAAGTAAATGAAGAAACAAATTCCTAAAGAAATGTGTACATTTCTGTGGGAAGAATAAAATAAAATGATGCCCTTGTATGCAAATTTACAGATTGTATATGCACACAGTACAGATTTAAACACTATTATGTACGTGCATACCTGTACTGGTACATGTGCATATTAATAAACATGTACATTGTACATGTTTTGTACTGTCAGTGATGTACAGTGTACATACATTGTATGTACACATGTACAGTGCACATGTATTTGATATGCACGTTTACTACAACATGCAGAGCTTTTTCTTAACTACACGAAAGCAAGGGAATGTCTACACTAGGTATGTAACGCAAACATGTATGTACATGTATGTGTATGTGTATCATATGGATTGCACATGTGCACTCGGCATAGTTCATGTTCACATACGTAAATATAACGTAATACATGTCAATGCCGACAAGCCTGCTCATTTTAGAAGTTAAAGGGAAAATACAACATTTGCAAACATCAAAAAATAAAACTACCAAGTCATTTTGAAATACCTTGCTGGACTGTTAGTGAATGACAGTGTAAAGCATTCTGTAAAATCATGGCACCTGGTATACTGTCATTTTCAAGAAAAGTGGTATTTTTGTATCAATTTCCTACGCTGATCGGCCGATCAGTGTTGGAAACAACTGGCTTTTTTTTTCAAATACTGGCCCCAATTGACCATCGCACTTGTTTGCAATCGATTACACACCTATGAACGGGTACAAGCCAGCTAGACTGGTTCCCTGACCTTACAATTCCCCAATGTATGTAAACTGCTCTGTTTCTTCTTATATGGAGTCAGGGAACCAGACTACAGGAAAATGATCATTTTTCTTGGTTTTTATAGCATTTTCGAACCCAAAACCTCAAAAAAGTCAGTGTAACTATATTTGCTATATATTTCCAACCCCCCAATTCCATCCATTTCTGAAAATTACAGCAAAAGCAAATGATGTATATTCCCTTTAAAATGTTAACATTTTTATATTTGCGCGCTGTGTACAAACATATGCTGCACTATTGTGACAAAGTAGAATTTCCGTGTTAATGAAGTGACTAATATCTTTAGTAATTAATGTCTCCTAATTAAACATGATTTTATAAAAACAGAGATTTTGTTTTGGCTGTTTAACTACTGAGCTATTGCATCAGTTATATATTTTTCAATTCTGTGGGAGAAATGTGCGCGAAAATGCGATTTGAAAAATTGACCAATTTCAAATGCAATTTTCTCAATGATGATGAAGGACAATGGGAGAAAAGTAGGCCCCTACTATGGATTTCGTGCATGAACAGCACAGATGACTCTTTTTTACGGCTTTTGAGCAACCAGCTGACCATCGTTTGGGACAAAAAGTGACTTTTAAAAAAAATACTGCCTCCATTTACCAAATTTAGTTAGTCCACATTTTGTTTGCAATCGGTTACACATCCTTGTACAAGTGTGAGCCATCTAGTCTAGTTCCCTGACCTGACAATTCTCCTGATCAATGTCTTTAAATTGCTGCATTTCGTCTGAAGTACCGGTAGGGTCTGGGAACAAGACTAAACAACATTTTTTTCTTGTTTTTTTCCCCAGCACAAAACTTAAAAAAAAAGGCAGTGTAACAATATTTGCATACTAACCCCAAATCTATCCTTTTCTGAAAATTAAAGCAAAATCAAATGTTGTACATGTACCTTTAAATAACTCCTTCACATGAAATCCTGTAACTGAAACTGGTACCCTGCAGGGATGTAACTCAAGCGTCCTTACTTGTCGGTGACCCGAAGACCGACCTGTGAGTCTGGGGGAGGCAGACCAATTCCCAGCCAATGCTTCTCTCCGCAGTTATAAAAATTTGGTATTTAGTTACGCAGTAACCACATAAGTCATCATTCATCTATTATTGTTACCCCAAGCTGATGGGGATGAATCATCCATTTTCCAGGGAAAGTGGGACATTGTGAGTCCAGCATTAGAGAAGTAGAGAGATTCTGTGCTGTGCATCGGACAAATTTCATGTGGCAGCCACATTTGAGAAGAGGCATTTGTGTCGGGGTAGACCACAACAGACACTGTGTTTGGGTCTGTAGCTTCCAAAAGCTCTGTCTGATATCCCCTGCCTTCTTCAAATTTAAACGACAGTCTAGTCCGACTAGATTGAAATTAACCCTAACCGCCCTGAATCTTTCAAAATCCTCTGAGCCAAAGTGGAGGAATTTGGAGGATTGAGGTTGGCAAAAGTGCGCTACTGATTTCGTAGGATGCACTTTGTCAAGGTCTTGGGCTGGACCTTGTGTTGTTTTTGCTCAGCCATGCATAAATATACATGTAGGCCTGGATTATGCTTGATATCCTCCGTACTGCTCCAGGATGTCACTGGCTCTGCTTCAACAAATTGATAGTCACTGCTGCAGGATTTTGCAGGATTCAGGCAATGGTCACCCCTCCAAGGACCATATTCAAGACATAGGCCTAATGGAGGAATTTGCAGGATTGAGGCTACATGTGCAATTTTTCCTTGAGGCCAATTGGAGGATTTTGCAGGATTGAGGCTACATCCTAGTGAAAAGGTCTAGGGAGTTAGGGTTAAAGTGCAATGTCATGTAATTTGTGTATAATATATATCTTGCATTCTGCTGGATATTAAACCATTGCTGAACTCAACCCCCTGGGCCCTGTACTAATCCAACAATGTGTACATTTGCAAAGGATGTACGCCTGGCACAAAACTAAGTAGTTTTTATAATCATCCTTGTTTGGACATTTCTCGGTGAACAAAAATTCTGAAATATACGTTTTGTCATGGAAACTTTCCGGTTCAATTTGATACCTCACTTGGGAACACGGTGTAAGAAATAACGAGAGCGCAAGTGCTGAAACTCGTCGTACACGAGAGCTACGTGCTGAGCAAAAAGTCATTCGAGGCCGTTTGCTCAGCACGTAGCTCACAAGATATCCCCGTGTGCGGTGCATTTTTGCTGAGTTTTCTGTCTCGCATGCGCAGCGTGCTTCAAGCTCCTGAAACCCCCAAAATAAAAGTTGCACTCAGTGAGATTTTCAATGGGCATTGCAACACAATTAAATGCAGTGATGCAGGCCCCACGTTCAATTGTGTGTTGCAATGCTCATTGAAAATCTCGCTAAGTGTAACTTTTTGTTTTGGGGTTTCAGGAGCTTCAGCGCTTGTGCTCCCGTTATTTCTTACACAGTGTTCCCAAGTGAGGTATCAAATTGAACTGGAAAGTTCCCGTGACAAAATTTTTATTTCAGTTTTTTTTGTTCTCCAAGAAATGTCCAAACAAGGATGATTATAAAAACCGCTTAGTTACTGTTATTCATGCAAATCTTGAGTGTGACACTTGCAAGCCAGTTCACATGTACACCAACACCGTAATGAAACTACCCTCAATCATGTGAAAGCTGTTGGAACCGTACACCACAATGTGTCTTCTGTTGTTTTGACACGGAGATTGCAGGACAGACTGCAGTATTTACATGTATACATTAAATCCCATACATTTTGTATTTGACTGTCAATGTTGGGTTGTTTTAGTCTGCAGCGATTCATTGTCCAAATGCTAATTTGTCATAAGCACCAAATAGTCAATTTGACAACAGCCTTGGTCTGAATTAGCCTCACTCAGAAATTTACAGTGACCAACATTGTTTTGTTCTTAATGTTCCCATGCAGGCCAGATCCCTCTTGCCTCAACCACCTGTTCATCGTCTGACGCAACCACGCTTTCGCACCTACCGATAGATGACTAGAGGGCGCTCTTACAATGGCGTCCTTAAACAGGGGAGCCGAGAAGCTGACGCTGAAGATCTTTCAGCCCAACGGCAGCTTCAACTCCGTCAAATGCATGGAGACAACTGACATCAAGGTGAATAACTTAGACGGTTGTTGTAAAGTATCTTACCTATGGACACAAACACTGAAAAATCCTGGTACTTGGCATTACTTATGGATTTCAAGTCAAGTATTTTGGAGATCTCGATGGAGATCATGGCCTTGGTTTTGATGTTTGCAAACAGAAATTAACCATAACCTGAATCCATCAAAATCCACACCCCTGTTTTGGAGTAGGCCTATTTCGGCAGATTTAGGATACCTCCATATTGAAAAAGTTGGGGGATTTGGATGGATTCAGGATCTCAACAGTTTAACTCCTTGGCTATATGTTTGGTTTGTACGAGGTATACTAGTACATACTACAGCTTGGTGGATTCTGATGGTCTCAGGACACCAATATTTTTGCATGACAAAATTGATGGATTTTGGTAGATTCAGGATACTTTCTAGTAAAAGTGCTCAAGGGGTTAGAGTTAATAGGGTGAACTTAGATATGAAAAACTGCCCAAGCCAAAAATGAGCCATCACATACAGGACTACAGTGCACAATTTGTTATGGTAAATGTTTGATAAATGTTTAGCCTTAAAATATGTTCATTCCTCTGGATATTAAGCAGTTAACGCCCGTCAATTTGAGGATTTGAAGTACATTTTGCTTAAGCTAACCCTAAATTAGCATTTTTAAAGTTTTAAAGGCAACACATATGCACCTGAGTATTAAAACTGACAGTACAATGTTTGTCGTGCATGCATGTTGGACAACATCGCTCCCAGAATGGAAACTGATGAGCTGAGACCATTTTGTAATTTGCAACCAAACTGTCTGTAGGGAGACACAGTCATTCTGCGGTTTCAGATGGTTCTTTGCATTGTGTTCCACACATGTCCCCATTGTGTCTTCAGCAGTGAAGCAGGTTGCCATTTTCTGCACTACTGCTTTAACTGCACTTTTCGGTGTTAATTTTTTTTTGGGGGGGGTGTTGGGTCGGGCTATAGTAGATAAACATAACCATATGTTACTGTTAGCTATCTTCATATTGTCGCATCACACCTTTTCATTCAAGGGATATAGTTACCATATTCACCGGCTGTGATGAGTGACAGTACAATGATCATGTCCAAATTACAGTCATAATTTACAATTGTACTCTCTAAAGACTAACTACAGTTCTCCAGTGAGACTGATTGCAATTTGGCTGTTCAATGTAGCGTTTGAAGCAGAACACACATGAAGTTAGAATCTTTAGCTTTGATAACACACTTTTTCACACAAGGTTACTTTACACAAATATTTGTCATTCTTACAAGGTTTAACAAAATGTCAAATTTAAACAAAACAAAAATTTAACAAATTTTAAAAATGTCAACTTTGTTTAAAAAAACAAATGGCTCCTATCCATTATTGCAGTTTTTTTAGAAAAAGAAAAAAGTAGCTGTGTCATTTTTCTCACTCCAGGTACAGTGCATGCACAAAAAAAGATTTTGCATACAATCATGGACCGTTTACACAATTGTACATGTACATGTACGTTTACCGGTATACATAAAAAAAAATAACGAAACCCAAATGTCGGGACTGTTGTTTTCATGAAATTCTACATAGTGTAGCCCTTTCAAAATCTAGGATATATACATGTATGAAAGCCCAATTCACAAGCGTTCTTTTGGTACAAGAATCATTCAAATCACTCATGTACTTTTCAAGTTACAGACATTTTAAAAACAACCACCGTTTTAAAGTTCTGTCCACGGATCACAAAAAGGTGAGTGTTCTTTCAGCAAAACGAAAATAATTCACACACATCCCTGTGTGATTTGTTTTCGTTTTGCTGAAAGTACAAGTTTACCTTTTTGTGATCTGTGGACAGAACTTTAAAATGGTGGTTGTGTTTAAAAAATTGGGCTTTCGTATCCTAGATTTTGAAAGTACTACATGCAGAACTTCACTAAAGCAATGGTCCCGACATTTGGGTTTCGGGTTGTTTTTTTACTCACTCTGTATATACCGGTATTTAGATATACTGGTATTTAGATAAATATAAATAAACCTAGTTAAGGAAGTGAATGCACATGCTGATAAAATCAGGTCTAGGCTACAGTTCCTGTGACCTTCGAAGTTTTAAACAAGGATATTTATTTAAGGTGTGTTGTTTAATCAACTTGCTCTGAAAGTGATTGTGTCAAAGGCAACCACGTATTGAAAACCATTTGAAGTATTTTACACATTGACACTGTAGGATTCAGTTTGCAAGAGGATGTATGTGTAATAATCATCAAATTACTGTTAATATACAGTTGATACACGAGGATATTTTTTCAGGAAATGCTATTTTTATCATATTCAAACATGCGTTGTTATAAACACCGCAAAAAAAGAAAGTCCACACTCATTGGAGGGCTCATAATTTTGAATCTGATCGTCTAATGATAACGTCATTTGTATCACATTTGGGGAAGTTTGTTAGCTACATTTTGATACCCCGTTTGCTACCAAAGACTGTAGATCGTCCGAGATTGACAAAGGTTTATGGCAAATGATGCAGTTTGAAAAGTTGCAAATTTAAAGATTACGCGAGGAGAAATTGCTAAGCATTTATGAGCACACATGCCCGTAATTGTCCCCTGTCGACTGCACAGTGTCCGAACAAAGCGCGAGTGATTCAATTTTCTTGCTCCAATGCACGCAACCACTGTGCGATGGGTATTCCCTGCCGTTCGTTTCGGGCATTGTCATGCAGCAATTTCCACTCGCTGATGTCGTACTGGAAAATATTGTGGCCAATAAAGATGCCTCCTAATTAAGTTGTTTTCAATGTGGCATAAACTCTTAGGAGTTAGGCCCTACTTTTCTGAGGTTGAGCAATAATATTCTTTTGGTGAGTTGGACAAGTTTCTCTGAAGATTTTATGCTTGCGAGGTGCATACTGCAATGGCAAAATTCTGCAACTGAATATGTATGAGGTGTAGTAAAACAAATATAACATGGTTTATTTCGGGTGGACAGTCGATATTAGCTCCCCTCGGTATTGGAAGTTGACAAACTACATGTAGTTCCCTCAGCCTCGCCTTAGGAACTAGTTTGTCAACTTCCAATACCCCGGGGAGCTAATATCGACTGTCCACCCTCAAACCATGTTATATTTGTATATATATATGTCCCTTTTGCTTTTGAACATCAACCAATGAACAAAAGTACATTTGGTTCATATGAGATGTAATACATCAGTCTATTCTACAATTTAACCCTAACTTCCTACGCCGTTTTGCTAGGATGTAGCCTCAATCCTGCAAAATCCTTCAAATGGCCTTGTGGAAAAATAGCATAGCCTCAATCCTGCAAATTCCTCCATTCTTTCTTGAATATGGTCCGTGGAGGGGCGACCACTCCCTGAATCCTGCAAAATCCTGTCAATATGTTGAGGCTTGGCCAATGACATCCTGGAGCAGTACGGAGAATTTCAAGCATAATCCAGGCCTATATTTATGCATCGCTGACCAAAACAACACAAGGTCCAGCCCAACTTGACAAAGTGCATCCTACGGAATAAGTAACGCACTTTTGCCATGTAACCTCAATCCTCCAAATTCCTCCACTTTGGCAAAGAGGATTTTGAAGGATTCAGGGTGGTTAGGGTTAAACAACTTTTCACACAAATTTTGTTTAGCAGTCGACAACCTCTTAACCTTGTGTACCTGTTGTATCCCAGAGTGTCATCCACGCCGTCGTGGCCAAGCTAGCGAGAGGAGACCGAGCCTTTCAGAGTAGCTTTGCCATCCGTCTCCAACACACCCACTCAGAAGAAAGCCACTGGCTTCATCGGGACCTGACTATTGGTCAGATCAAGCACAAGTATGAGAGGATACACCCAGCGTTGGAATGGAGGTCAGTGTTGTAGTGTTGCATTTGGGTTATTGGGTACTAGACCTGGCAAGCATCCCCCTTTACACAAACAAATGCACATTTTTGAAACATTGGCAAACGATTTTAAAATAATGATTTAGTGCTTATAAGCACTAAATCATTATTTTAAAATCGTTTGCCAATGTTATAAATATTATGTTTTATTTACCAACAATTTCAAGAGAGAGCAACTATACGGTCCGAGAAAAATTAAAGGGAATATACATCATTTGCTTTTGCTGTAATTTTCAGAAATGAATGGAATTGGGGGGTTGGAAATATATAGCAAATATAGTTACAGTGACTTTTTTGAGGTTTTGGGTTCAAAGATGCTATAAAAACCAAGGAAAACAATCATTTTCCTGTCGTCTGGTTCCCTGACTCCATTTAAGAAGAAACAGAGCAGTTTACATACATTGGGGAATTGTAAGGTCAGGGAACCAGTCTAGCTGGCTTGTACCCGTTCATAGGTGTGTAATCGATTGCAAACAAGTGCGATGGTCAACTGGGGCCAGTATTTGAAAAAAAGCCAGTTTTTTCCAACGCTGATCGGCCGATCAGCGTTGGAAATTGATACAAAAATACCACTTTTCTTGAAAATGACAGTATACCAGGTGCCATGATTTTACAGAATGCTTTACACTGTCATTCACTAACAGTCCAGCAAGGTATTTCAAAATGATTTGGTAGTTTTATTTTTTGATGTTTGCAAATGTTGTATTTTCCCTTTAAGGAAGATTTGTTTGAAGTTTTCGATAATTAAGCTTCAAGCAGAGTTGTGTGACTCGGTCTCGAGTCCCATTTTCAGTGGCTCGAGTCATGATGACAAAAGAGTTGGACTGGACTCGACCTGCGTGACTCGGTACTCCACCAAAATTACCAGAAACCACTTATCTTTCCAACAATATGATTACAAATTATTTTAAAGACGATCCTTTCCTGAGCAAGCGATACAGTCAGTGCGGTGCAGAAGAAACGCATCTTAGTACTGTACATAAACAGCATGTGTCGGCTGGCTTGCTTGCTTCCGATTTATTGATTGGGAAATCAATGTATCGAAACACGTACCCCAGCGGGTTGTTACACTTGATATTGCGTAAATGCAAGCTTGATGGTGTTCAGTCGGTACCAAATTATCCTTTCCAGACACTGGTGCCTTGCCAGGCAGTACCTTATAATATGTAGTGCTTAAAGGTGACTCGTGACTCGGACTTGACCTTTGTGACTCGAAATTCGGACTTGAACTTTGTGACTCGTCAACCTGCATGACTCCGGACTTGGACTTGGACTCGACCTTAGTCTTTGGGCTAGACGTTGTTATGGTTTGATGATATGCGATAACCTGCCGCTGCAATAGCCTGCTGCCGCGAGAGGGCGTTATCATGACCAACCATTATCACGCATGAACCCGTCGGAACAACGTCTAGGGAAATTTGTAAAATCTCCCCCCGAAAAATGAGCGAAACTAGTGCGCATGCGCTACTTCTGCAGGCAATTACGGTCCATTTTCAGTCCCACGCACATTACACACCACAAAAGAGCTGACCAGTGAAGTTGCACAAAAGTCTTGCTGAATTTTTTATACTACTGGAAGAAATTTAAGAGTTTGTTTTGGAACTACAATGAAGTGTTTTGAATGTGCACTGCATAATAAGCCAAGGTAGGTGCGCATGCATTACACAACCGATATGAGTTTCCCTAGACGTTGCTCTGAAGAGTTCGTGGGTGATATTGGTCGGTCATGAAAACGCCCTTTCGAGGCGGCGAGTTATCGCCGCGGCGGGTTATCGTGAATCATCAAACCACAACGTCTAGCCCCTAGACTAACTTGACTTTTGTGACTCGTGACTCGGATTCGGACTCGACATTTGCGACTTGGACTCGAACTCGACCTGCATGACTCAGGACTCAAACTTGGACTCAGAAGAGGTGACTCAAACTCGGACTTGATCTTTTGTGACTCAAATACAAGTCATGTTTAAGGCATCTGCAAGCTCATAAAATGTACTTGTACATTGTACAAAAATGGCTGTCATTGTTCCATTGCACATGTACTGTGTACGTGCACTTACATTTGCAATGGTTGACTTCTCATTTCAACCCAGCTGCAGTTGGAGTCTGAAATGACTCAACGAAATCCACCCTCTTTGTTCCTCCATAAAAATATTGATCCACAATGTCGCCAGCACTTAACACTTACATATGTAAAGCGAAAGTGTTGAGAATATTACATTAGTCACAGACGGAGGGGGAGTCATGTGTGTCATTATTGTGCCAAGCATCATTGTGTTTCATTAGGACTTGTAGCATAAAGTTACAGGAAATAATTTATAGTGGTTTTTGTTATCAATATTATTAAATGTATTTGATTGTGTAAAGTAATATTTTGAATCATTTTTGTTTCGTTTCATTTTTTAGTTTCATTGTACTTTGTTGTGGTGACTGGTGACTGTCATAATATCATTTCATGTTCACATTACACACATGTATGTAGTTTGGTATTTTTGCTGCTGATGTAAGGATTTGAGCAAAGATTTGCTCTCTGATGAGCAAATAACTGAGGCATTTCTCCTTCCTAAAATGTCAAATTGTTTCAGATGTGACCATGTCTGGCTGTATCCTACAGTTACAAACATACCGGTACATATGTACACAAGTCGTAATGTCAGGAATGACATTTTTTCAGGATTTTTCACAAGGGCGGATCCAGAACACAATTTTGGTGGGGGGGGGGGAGGCAAAAAAAATGTTGGTTCCCCCAAAACGTGGAATAATTTTTTGATTTTTTTAAGGGCTTAAGGGCCCTGACAATTTTTTAGATTGTAGATGCTCTGTGGTGGGATCTGAGGCAATTTCGGACCACTTGAACCAATTTTTTTTAGGGAAAAGATGGTGGGGTGGTGTATTCATTGCCTGCCTTTATTGCGAAGTCACTTAAAGCTACAGTCCATCATTTGCAGCTACCGGTATCCAAAAAGTAGCTGACGTACCGGTAATTATTGTTGAAAAGCATACTTGGTTTAAAGATATTAATGGGATTAAACTCCCTGTGAAATTATTATTTCTGGCAAGCTGTCATATTGAAGTAAACAATGAAAGAAGGCCATTCCAACAATGCGTCTAAAAAATAAATTGCAAATGATGGACTGTACCTCTAACTGTACCTCTATAAAAAAATTGGGTTCGTTTTTGGTGTGTTGGGGGGGGGGAATGGGCCCCTGTTGCCGCCCCCTCCCCCCTCCCCCCTCCCCCTCCCCCTCCCCCTCCCCCCTCCCCCTCCCCCCTCCCCCCTCCCCCCCCCCCCGGATCTGCACTTGATTTTTCATGATTTCAAGATATTTAACTTTCGAGGACAATGCTTTGTGTTTCCCTTTGTCCTTGTAGTATAACACTCTCCCATACACTAAGCACACAAACTTACTACAGAGGACCATTTTGAACAAAAGACCGAACCCCCGAGGACTGAAAGGATCTGTTGTTTTCCCTTTGTGTGTCGGTCCTCGGGGGGTTACATTGTATACGAACCATGCATTCAAATTGTTTTAAGGTTGTGACTTTGCGTTTAAGTGTGTAAACATTTAGCAAATATTTTAAGAACCATTTAAACGTTTAGCCAGTCACAGTGCTGAGGCCTGCCCATTATGTCTGCAGATGTACTGACGTGATTGACATGATAAATGAACAATGATGGACGTAATAAATAGCAGGCAGTCATAGAAAAGTAAAATCTTAACTACAGTACATGTACCCTGAATGTAATCAAGTACCGCGGTGTTTGAAAACATCATTACTTATTTGTGCTATGTATGTTTATTAAACTCAAAGGAAGATCGTGTGAACGTATTATATACATGTCTGTATATGTGTACATGTACATTGTAGGTCCCTATTTTATAATTCGCTTTTGTTTAAAGATATAGTCAATCATTTGTAATTTGTGCATTTTGTTCGTTTGAAGCAACAAAAGTGCTCACTGACAAGATCTAAAGAAGGGTGCTGAACAACTAACCTGATGAAGTTTCAGCTAAGCTTCAGCTGTATATTCCGCGAAAAACAGCATTCTAGGATCTCAATTTCAAATCAAAAGTTACTGAATCATGTTTTGAATTGTTTCGAATTGCAGCTGTACGCGACGTCGCGCACTGATCTGACGAATTATAGCAACCGCGCGCGCGTGTGCGTCGTGCCAATGCTTGGGCGCGCTTCGCCGAATAACAAAACGAACTACTAATTTAAATTTTCCTACGGTGCGTCTTAAGATGCACCTTCTTTCGTTGATTACTTCAAAATGACAGCTTCCCAGAAAGAATAATTTCACAGGGAGTTTAGTTCCCTTACAGTTACTATCTTTCAACCAAGTTTGTTTTTCAACAATAATTACGCCAGTTACTTTTTGGATGGCTGCAAATGATGGACTATAGCTTTAAACGTTGTAGAAAATTTGTAAACGGATGTAGAATTCTTTTCGTTTCTGTCACATCCTTAGATTGTTTGATTGGAGAACAAATCATAGCAGTTGTTACACATGTTTATAAATCCCCGGAACACATCCACAACTTACTGCATGGTAGAACAGGTCCAGCAAATAAATAAATAGCAAAGCCTGACATTCTCATCAACTGTGTCTCGATTGGCATTCTATCATTCTTGGGCTGCCTCCCTGCCCGCTGACAGATGTTGTGTTATGGGGAAAACGTCGCGCATGTGTGTAATACGGTGCAGCGTTCATGTAGATGTACATGTACATGTACGTGTACATTTGTACATGTGTGTAAGGGCCGAGTTTATGTTCACTGAGTCATCGACAGTGTGGTATGGCAGCCAGAGTTAGGCTTCCTACCGTACATCCTTAGCTTCACATAGACTTTTTCCAAGTTTGGAATGTTTGGTCCATGTAGACTGTGCGCAAAAAAAAAAGAGTGAATTGTTTGCAAAATATGCTAAAATGGATAATGTCCCTGTGGTTACTACCTAATAATAGT